TAGCAAACCCTATGAAAAAACCTATACTGAAGGAGAACATGAAGTATCATTGTAAGACACTACAGAGTCAAAAGTAATATTTAATATTTACAAACCCTAACATACATAAACAGACTCCAAACAAATACAAAAAGAAATAACTATCGCCACCCACACACAAAATATGGTCCAGTATACTTTCCTATGTGTTACTTAAACTGGAGTCAACTTTTGGATGGTTTCTTGATAAAACGAGGATGCTACAAACTCTTGCTTTTCAATCTAGAAGTCTCCACTTCTGCCCTACTGTTATGCAAGAGGTTGATCCTTGTCCCTTTGTGGTTCGGGATGGTAGTGAAATAGATCTGCCAATGGCAAGACTGTCTCCTTCCATCTTGACTCTTCAGCTTGCATGGCACAGGCTGGAAACTGTTAGCCTCTGAATCAGTAACTGGCATAGTCTGCGGGTAGATCTGGAATGTGGATCAGAGCACTGTGAGCTTCCAAACTGCCCTTTGTGGGGCATAATGGGCCAGTGGCAGCTCATTGATGTGTTTACTCTGTATGGCTCTCAACAGATGGTAGGGGCTAAAGTCTATAAAATGTTAAAGGCCATGGGTATCCACTCTTTTCTAAGTCTCACCAGGGGCACAAAGCCACAAGCAACCTCCCTCCAAAAATTCTCAGAAGGCCAAATTTGTCAGCTCCTTCTCTGTTCAAACCACTGCTATTTTGATCTGCTCTTCTACCCTGATAATATAATGCCCAATCAGAGTTAAGTCCTCCACATAGTGGAGACTGGTATCTTTGCCCCAGTCTGAAGATTTTAGTTTTATCATGCCACAGTCACCTTCATTCCTAGCCCTAGAGTTCTATTTGGGTGAAAACTTCTTTCCAGTAGCATGGTGACAATTACTGCCTGCAGTTAGAGAAAATAAAGGGATTTTTCTGGGCCTAAGGAGAAACTACGTGGCCAACTTTCCACCCCACATCTCCTTTGTCCTTCTCCTGCTTATTCAGTGGAAGCAAGGGATCTGGTGAATTCCTAAGAGGGTTTCTCAATCTGAACTTGTCTTCTGGTGCTTTGGATGAATGAATTTTCCAGAGCAGCACGTGAGTGAGCCTGCTTGTCAACTCTTGAAGATGTTTGCTATTGTTTTTCCAATTTTGATGACACACTTTTCTCGTTATTCTAAGCAGCACATATTTATTAAGATAAAGTACATAACACTTCTGTTTCTAATGTTTGTTTTACATCACTCTGTCCTTTTAGTCTAATCAAAGACCTTAACATGTTTTCAGATCTCTGTGTTCTAGTAACCATTCAACATGTGTCATGCACAGAATTTTGTTCAAATAAACACTTGAAGAACTGATGTTAAGCAAAGTACAATATCTTTTAGGGTGTAATATATTTCATAAAGTATCCTTTAAAAAAGCTCACTTTCAAGAAAAATTTCCACTATGTAAAACTTATTTGAAATCAATGCTTATGTTTGCAGCATATGAACTTTTTGGTTCCTAAATACCAATTTTCTTCTTAAATCACTTGTACTTCCATTTTTATTAATACACATGGCTTGTATACCAAATACCACAGAGGTGAAGCACAGAAATGTATTTCCTCAGAATTGTTGAGGTGGTAGCGTAAGTCCCAGACCCCAGAAGGGCTGGATTCTGGAGAGGCCCCACTTGACGGTGTATAGGAAGCCACCTTCTCACAGGCACCGTATTCTGAGACCTCACATGACTTTCTCTGTAACTATAGGTTTCTGGGTTTCTGTTCCAGAGAACATAAGGCTTACCACACTAGTGCCTCCACTTAGAACTTCTTTGAACACTAGTAACATGTATAAGTGCATTGTCTTCAAATATTGAATCTTTTGGGGTAAGGGCTTCAATACTTGAATTTTAAGCAAAATTATTCAGTGTTTAATAGTCTTTTTGAATAGGTCTATGAACAGTAAATTCACTAAGGTAGTATACATAGGACATAAATCCAGTGCTTGACTTATTTTTTTCATGCTCTTAATATATTAAATGATATTTATTAATTGAATGTCTAAGGGCAAATTTTGGCCCACAGACCAACTGCACATATTATATCTGCATTCTTTCACACTTTCAAACATATGAATCCAGCACTTTCTACTGTATGAGTTTTGAAAAGATATTGTTTATAATCAGAGTGGATTTTCTGCTTTTGAATATTTTCAGTAATTACTGTGGATACTTTCTGTATTTCACTTTGCCTCTGATGGTTTCAAAATTCTCATAATAATAAGTTAATATGATAACATATAGGTAATTTTATTTAATATGGGGCACACATCTTGACATCAGATCCTTGTTTTATGTAAGATAATTAACTTATCTCTTTAATTGAGAAGAAGAAAATACATATTTATTTTCATGAGTAACATTACACACTAGGTGCTTTTAGGTGTAAATTTTATTGAAAAGGGAAGAAAAATATTATTGCTGAAGTTATTTAAGAATGAATTAGTTTCAAGATAAAATCAAAATAATGATTGCTGGTAAAATACTAGCAAACTCTCTACTTACAAATGAGAGGCCAATATCACCAAAATTAAGTAACATTTTGAATATGGAAGCATTTCACTATATTGCTAGTAATAGAAGAGAATTGTATAAAAATGAGAAGTAAAGAAATCTATATAAATAAATGCAGATGATATTTTGCAGAGATGACATCAGAACTGCATATGATATAAAAGAAACACTAGAACTCACAATCTATTAGATGTCAGATATGCTGAATTTCTATTCCCTAAAAATTAAAGAATGATTCTAGGAACAATACAGGTTAAGAGTAGAAAGACAGTTATTGAGAAGGGTAGATATAGCTCCTGTGAGGCAGGAGGGGGCCTCAATAGGTTGCCAGGAAGCTTGGAATTACATGGAATTTTACAGAGAAATCTCCATGTAGATTTAAAGAAGGTTACAACTATGTTTAACCAATAATGATTCAAGTATATTCACTTAGGTAATAGTGATCTGATATGAGAAATATCCTGTAAGAAAGGTGTATGAAAAGAGCAAAGACTTTGCTAGGAAATGATGCGTCCAGAGGGTTTGACAACCCACTAGGACAATTGATGTCAATCAAGGCTTCATTAGACCTGGTGTTTTCCTTTGAGGAACTGTACCAGCCAGGTCATTTTGTCTTTATCTTGAGGGCTGGTCTCCAACAAATGTGTCTCCATGTCCAACTGAGACATGTTTCACCTTTTTTCTGGCTCTTGTGGGTCTGGCTCTATCTGATTCTCTACAATATTTCTGCCTAGCTAACCTGTCTATAACAATATCATTCTTTAGTTAAAACTGGTGAGAGTGGACTTAAAACACAAAGCACATATAATAGCTTAGTAAGACAGCTTGTTCTCCATTCAGTATAAAGTTAAATGAAAATAATTTTATATGATTTATGCTTGGGCCACCATGTATGTTTTACATACACACTTACCACTGTCATAAATATTTTATAAAATCTTAAAATTTCTTAAGTATAAAAATCAAAATTCTAAATTCTGTTTCTTCTTTAACCTAGGTGTCTGGTGTGACGTAGAACAGCCACATTTTTATGTGAATTTGGGGCAGAGCATCTGTCTTCAGGGACTATCAGTAAAGCTGCCTGCTGACATCTGCTTGCCTTACATGATAAGTGCTTAACACTGTGGATCCTTTGTCTTTCCACATGAAAAATATTACTACACATATGTGAGTCATAAAAGAAGTGACATGTACAGCTGACATGGCAACAAATGTTGTAGCATCCTCTACTGATGAATATATAAGAAATGTCCATATTTTATTTTACAGAGAAAATGTTTCTCAATGAAATATCTCAAAAAACCTTCAGAAAAGATGTTCAAATGTTTTCTACAATTAAGTGAGGTCATGAACAAGAGAGGAAGAAAATCTCCCAACTCAGTCCTAACAATTTAAAGGAGTTTCTTGGTGAATTCAAACCCCGGTAAAGAATTTTCACTCATTCCAATATAGAGGATTCTATTTTATTGAAGATTTAACACCACTGGACACAGGACGTAGATCTATGTTTCCCTCTATTATAACACCTTTGAACTTCACTCATTCTACATTTTTCTCGTATATCAAAAATTCATTTAATTTGTATTTATCTTCCTTTTTTGCCAATCTGTACGGTTGACACATAAACACAACAAGCTTTACCTTAATTATATATTCGCCATTCATAATTCAATCTGATTTCCTATTTCTATAATACTCTGCTTATTTTCACCCAGGAATATACAACGTATTGATGAAAGTATAAAAAATATTCACTTCTAATTAATGTTAAATCAAAAGATTCTCATAACTATGTTTCAGAATTGTTTTCTAAAATTATTTATGTTTGGTCTATATTTTATGCATGTATAATTATCACATTCATCATAGGGAATATGTACCTGAACATGACCCAACTTGATTGATTTTTTCCACTCCTCTAAACTCCCTTAAACTCACTTCTTCTCCTTATTTATAAAAGGTTTATTTCCATTTTTGCCTTCTTTTCCCTTTATTTTTTCTTACATCCCCTCATCTCTACCAGTATGAGTCCCTACCCATTTGAATATTCTTCTTATTCCATATCTATTATATATTTGGTACTTATTTACACTTTGGTTTCTCACACCAAAGAAAAACACATAAACACAAGAAACTTTACCTTATTTATATGTTAACCATGATAAGTTATTCTGATTTCTTGTAGCAATCTGCTTGTTTGCACTCGGACAATACACAACTTAATGATGAAAGAAAATCTAAAGCATTCATTTCTATCTAATGTTCCATCAAAAGACTCTCTTAAGTATGTTTTAGTATTCTTTTTAAAATAATTATGCTTGGTGTACATTTTAGGTAAATATAATTGTCAGGTTCATCGTAGCTAATATGTATCCATACATGGCACAACAAGAATTTCCTATGATCTTACTTTCCTCTTAGCATATGCAACATGATCCCCAAATGCTTTATGAATGTGAGGATTCATCTTTGCGCCCACACCTCAGCCACCTCAACACTGGAAGACAGGCCTGTTTTAACTTATTATTCCCCAGGATTAGGACAAGTGAGTGGACTGATGGAAAGGCAATTTCACCAGTCTGAAAAAAGTAAAAATAGAGAATATTTGGAAACTTAATTCTACAAAGTTGTATAAAAAGTGACAGAAAGAAAACTGTGTACAGGAGGAGAAAGGCCACCACAGCCTGTAAGGCCTTTACATGGGCTGTGGTGCTCACATCTCTGAACCCACTGTCATTGTGCTGCATCTTCTTCAGATGTTTCCACAGGGAGAAGATGAGCAGGAGGAAAGTCATCAGAGACAGCACAAAGGCTATGAATGTGAACATAGTGTTGCTGAGTAAGACAAGTTTTGAAAACTCAGAAAAGTTCTGTAAGCTGGAGTTGTAAGACATGTTTCTTTTATACTCATCAATCAAGACATTCATATGTGTATTTGACTGCGAAAGGTGTAAAAGCAAGACAACAAGAGACACCAATAATGTCACTGAAATAACCTTTTTGACTCTCCACTTAAAATAAAGAAAAATAGAGTTGGAAAAATTGGCTACCTTGAGGCAATAAAAGATGCTGAGGCATGTGGCAAGCCACATGCTAAAATGACAAGTCACAATCCAAATAATATACATTGTTCTTACCATTATTAAATTCATCCAGAAATTGGAATAAAACATGTCCTTCCACCAATTTATGAATAATACCCAGAGCAGACCAACCCTGGAGATTGCCAAAGCAGTGAGCAGGTGATCAGCTAAAGAGATCTTTCTTCTGTTGATCAGGTCCCTGCAGTTCACCAGGATTATAAATATATTTCCTAAATTTCCAAATATGAACTTCACACTAAAAATGATAGTAAATATGCTTAGTGTAATACTACCCATTGTTGGTAAAAGACTGGCTCTACACGTAATATCACTGCTCAAGATGTATTAATAGTCATGTAAAATTTTATATGTACCTATATCTTAAACCATTCTTCTTCTAAATGGAAACTTCAATCTAGGGTACTATATTAAAAAAGAAAAAAAGAATTCTACATTTGCAAATGAGCTGATTCACACAGTCTTCATGAAAATCTTGTATTTTCCTGACATCTCAGATGAGTTTCATCCAAGTACTCTGAGCATCACAGACAGGATCTGGAGTCTGCTGTAGTTGTTGGTGAAGGAAACATAAAACAAAGATGTATTTATTTACATGCTTTTGCCCCTCTTGCATTACTTATGTATTTTAAGCCACGATCAAGACCAATAACATTATAAATTTTGACTCATATACAAAAAAAAAAAAGAATTTAGGTCTGGGGATTTAGCTCAGCGGCATAAGTGCCTGCCTGGCAAGTGTGAGGTCATGAGTTCAATCCTCAGTACCACAAAAAATAAAATAAAATAAAATAAAATAAAAAAGAATTTAAAATAATACATAAAATTTCCTAATTCCAATAACTTTTAAACTCTTCAAAATTCAGTCTATATAAGGATATGTTCATGTTATGCCAATTTCATTGTGGAAATTATGAGAGTATTAATCTCAGAAGTTCCTTAATCCTTGAATGTTCTGTATTGAGATAATGTTTATTCATTACTTTTTACAAATGCATGTATACACACACATATGCAACCACACTTACATTGAAAAAGACTTTATGAAGGCAAATATCCTTTTATTAGTTCAATAATTCAGATTTTCATTTAATAAGCAATTGTTGTACACTAAGGATATCATAAATGTTTTCATAGATATCAAAATCATTTACAAAAGGATTTGACATACAAATTGTTTAGTATTAATGTAAATACTCAACAAGATTTAAAACAGTCATTTCTGTGCATAGGAAGAGGTATAAATCTCTCTGTGGTCCCATGAATCATACACTGTGATGAACAACTTCACCTGCACAGCAGTATCCTCCTACTTCTCTGCCTCTCCTTTGCACTGAATGGCTGTTTCCTCCAACCACCTGAAGACCTCCAAGTTGTATCCTTCCCTCACACCCACAAGTATAAACTTCATGACTCCCGCTATAGGCACCAAGGAAGATACGATATGTGATACTGCCTGAGTGTGATGGAAAAAAGAACAACCACACAACTGTTATTCAGTAGCTACAGAATATAAAAGGGACCAAAGGACAAATTCAGCAGCAGCTACAAAAACAGCAAATGTATATCACCAGCTTCAGAGCTGGCAGAGAAAGACAGGGTACTCATGATGGTGAGATCCCATCTTCATTTTCTTCAACCTGGATTTAGCAAACAAAGTAAACACTACACATTTTAAAAATATAGCTGCACATTTAATGGAGGTTTATTTTGATAAGGCAAAATAGTCCTACCATAAGAAAATTACAAGATAAAAGATCCAAGAATAAAAGCATAGGCATACCATCAGACTAGAGGAAGGAAGATCCCTGTGTGAGTCAGTTTTCCATCACTCTGAAATAGTACACTATCAACTTAAAAGGAGGAAAGGCTTCATTTGGATTTTTACCTCAGAATTTGATTTTATTGTTTGCCTCTTGTAATTAGATAGAACATTATATGAGGAATCATGTGATAAAGAATAACTAATCCCCCCGCTACTATTTGAAGCAAAGAGTGGAAAACGGAAGAAGGAACCAATATATCCCTTTTGAGAGCATGCCCGAATCATCTATCTTCTTCCACACTCTATCCCACAATGGTTACATACCTTTCAATAATTCCACAACCTTTAACAAAATGATTATCAGGATTTTTAGTATTGAATGAGAACAATCTTCCTTGCATTTCTGCTTCGAAGTGATATAGATGAGCTCTGGAAGAGGACAAAAAGACATGCAAACAGCCATGTGTGGTGTTCTGTGGAGTGCAAGCTAGTAGAGGAATTTCATAACTTTTTAGAAAACAGAGAAAACTTGGACCCCTGGCAAGGAGTACACTCACCCTTGGGGACCTCTGCCTGAGCTATACCCCTGATTCTTCCACTTTTGATGGAAGCAATGTGTGTTCCACCTCACTGAGAACTACTTGGGAAAGACAGTCCTTTCCAGAAAAGGGGAGAAAAGAATTGAGGATAATTTCCAAGTATTACAACCAGCATCACAATAACAGGGCAGTACTTGAAAATAGCAGAGACATCACTCATCTCATAACCAATATCCGACTGAGGTATATATATACTCAGTACATTTCATGTTAATTTCCTTGTTGGTGGTAAGTTTTACATACTGAGCATATCAAATGCAAATCATTAGAGCTATATCTTTACTTAGATTACGATAATTATAAAAAAACCCCTTGGTTATAAATATATACACCTTGTTATTCATAAACACAAATAAAACAGTAGATCATAATTATTATGATTTGACACAAAGTGACTATTGAAGCTCCTTTCTTTTCCCAACTTAGTAGCATTAGATTTAAATATACCTTAGACATATGAAGAAAAACCACTCCTTTGTGAAGTGTATGAACATATACATACACACCTAGACACTTAGATATAGATTGATCTGAATGATCAGCCTTATTTATCTCTGCAACTATGTTCAGTGAAGTGATTCTTTGAGATCACCTGCAAACTCATCAAAGCTGATTAATAATTGAAGAAGTGATTTTTAGCCTTTTCTGATATGTTCTAGATAAAAGGGAAAGAAATAAAAAAAGCAGAACGTAGTAATTAGTGAGCAAGGATAAAACTCAAGAGAAAGCATTGGGCAAGAAAGCAGATGAGTCCCTGCAATGCTGCTTATCGGTGCTGTAGGACAAAGACTGAGCATTGGCAGCAGCTTCTCACTGATGTTTTTGGGAAAGGAAATGGAATGATTAACAGCCTTACTGAGAAGTTTCATGAAACAGCCATTCATTAGGCTTTGTGTCTGAGACATACTATAAACTAAGAGCAGCTGAGAACTGAAAAGCAGATTCATGAGGATAGCCTTTGGAGTTTCAACCCATTACCCAGTTCCTAGCACTGAGTCAAAATCAGGGAAATCTAAATCCCTTTCACACAGGTCCTTGAACATATAAAGAGAATTATTCAGGGTGTATTCATGGTTTTTTTCTGAAGACCTGTAATCACGTACCAGATACCAGTCCTGAGGAGGAAGGGCACCTATTCACATTTTGGGGGGAGTTCAATTTTATAGGCCAAACTAGGAATGGTAAATAGGGAGGCAAAGAGACTTTATGTTATATTGTATGGGATAGAAACTTGAGACTGATAATGCTTTCTGGAAATTTGACTCATGTTCAGCCCAAGGTGGGCCCCATGAGTTGGCATCTTTAACTAATTACAAATGCATAATTTCAGTAGACAGAATTCACAATTTGAACAATGCTCATATTGTTCAGACCTTGTGGATTAAGGGGCATTCTTGTAAGCAGGACTAAGTTGGAAGCTTATGAAAGTCTCTTCCTGACAGACAAGAAATAAGAAAGTAAATCACATATTCTAAGGAATGAATGGATTACTACTTTAAAAATCTTTGAAATTTTAAGAAAGTTATATTTCTTTTATATTCCTATTAAATTAAAATATCTAGACTCTGCCATAGTCAGGCAGGCTAGTTAGGGTCAATACAGATTGCCAAGTAATTTCATTTCCCTGACTGATGCTCTCCATTAAATAACCTTTCATGAGCACAACATCTGACCTCCTCTTTGTATGTGACTGTTGACTTGGTTAATGTACTTTATCAATATTCATTTTTAAGGAAATCAAAAAATTTAATATTATTATTTTGAGAACCTGCAGCCACAGGGACCTAGGACTCCAGGCATTTCTGTGCATGTTGCTGCCTAATGCTGAAGTTCTCTTCCTGAATTGAGGAAGTACCGGAGCATGAGAGGCTCACTAGAGAAGGTCCTGCAGGCTTTGGAGCTGGCAGTATTCATGTAGTGTGGTCCGTGTCTAGGCAGTGCCTGGGAATGCTAGATCCTATTTATTCTTTTTGTTTACAATTAAAAATTTTAATTATCCCTTGATTTGTAAAACAATAAAAATGTGCATCTCTGGAAAATTAAAAATACTAGAATAGCCCAATTGCCCACTTGCTGTCCTAGGGGTAAAGCTTTCTTTAACTAGACAAAGAATGAAAAACAGAGAAGTCTCTTGGAAAAGAAAGACTGAGATACCACAGGCCTCAGTAAAAGTGGCAACTCCTGGAAATATACTTTATGCTTGCACCCAGGGCCTAATTCATGCTAAACATACTCTGTGAGGAGCTACATCCTGTGACCCTTGTTATAGTTTGTGTCTAGATGTCTCCCCAAAGCCTCATGTAATTTTTGATGGGACTTTTTCTGATGTCACTGAATCTAGACTGTGTGATTGACTCAAAATTCAGGCTGGGATTAAGGATACTAGGATTAAGGATGCTGAGATTAAATGTGAGTGCTATCTGGATCAATCCCACTGATTGGATTAGCACCCCTCTAATCCCAGTTGTCTGGATAAGATCAAAGGCTGGAAGGAGGCTTGTTTTCTCTCTCCCTTTGTTGCTCCTCGCTGTTTTCTGCCACCGTGCCCCACTGCCAGGTACCAGTCTGCCTTGGAGTCAACAAATTGTGGACTTAAACATCTACAAACTGTAAGCTAAATAAACCTTTCCTTCTCTTAATTTGTGGGTATTTGATATTTTGTATGAGCAATGAGAAAAGTAACTAAGACAACTCTGTTTTCATTTTAACTTGCATTTGCCAAGAATATCATGTTAATGCAGCATATTAGATAATTAATTTACATTTATAAGTAGAAAGTGGCAAAATTCTCATATAAAAATATAAAATTAACCATGAGAAACAGGTAAAAGAAAGACTAATAAACGTAAAAAATTCACAGACTAATACCACAAGTCATATATTTAGCAATCCAATAGTCTGATCTATATGTACAA